ATCACCGGCGACGAGGGCGCCGACGTCGAGCGCGACCCGCTCTTTTCAAGCACTGAAGGGACCCTGTCTTGGTGTTGGCACTGGAGTGGGTCGGACCCAGCGAGTAGCGCCGCACGAAGGGAAGCCACAAACTTTTGTGTCTTGCGCTCCACCAGGCGCAGCTCGGCCTCTGTATGAAGGCCAGCAAATCAATGGCAAAAAATAAAAATAAAAATAAAAAATGAGCCTCTACAAGGACGTCTTGGTGCGTACTGGGGGGGGGGGAAGCGGTTGCATACCATCATCGATGTGGGCGAGTAGCAGCTCAAGAGATCCAAGGATGCGCTGCTTTCTACTCGAAGATATATTTTGTTTTTTTAAAAAATAAAAAAAGGAAATAGGAATTAAAAAGGAAAGCGAAAGCGAAAGAACGCCTTGCGTACCTCAGGTGGAGCGTGTCGGTGGCGAGATGGTCGTGTTCTTCCACTTCTGGTCGTTTTTGGTCGGCGCCCGGCACCTGCTTTGCTGTGAGGCGGCAGTCCTCCTGCTTTTTGTGTTCTGCTTCGTGGTCTTGGCAGACAGGGAGGCCCAAGTCAGCCCTGCTCATGATCTTCATCTTCTTCAACTTGTTGTTGTGGTAAACAAAATCGATTGTTTGTCGAAAGGAAGGCCATAGCTCAGGAGGAAGAGAGAAGGGGAGTTTGGGACATACATTTGGTTGGCACTTTCGCAGAAAAACCGGATGACAACCCCTGTGCCCAGATCACTGGAGCCCAGCCTTCATTCCTACCACTTCGTGATGTGGGCTTGGGAGGCCTTGATAGGTGGGAGGTGGACCAACGTTGGTGGTGACCATGGTCTTGGCCTCCTTGATGAACAGCCACACTGAATTGAACAAACAACTCCGAAATTAAACAAATTGATAAATAAATTAGTGAAAATAAGACCAGGAAGAAGTGGAGAGGTCGTTGGGATGATTTGATTCTGCAAACCATGAACAAGAACATTTTTGTGGCTGCGCTGCTCGCCCTGTGCCTCGCCTTCGCGTCGGTGGCGCAGGCCGCTACCTGCTCGTTGGCCGCCACGGAGTACTCTTCGGCTGGCTGCTCGACCGCCAATCTCGTCGGCTGCAATCGATACCCGACTTTGAATGAGGGAGACTGTCACGCGATTGCCTCCCCCCTCGACGGTTCTACATCGCTCTACGTGACCATTTCGAATTGCTCCACCCCGATGTACACCGTTCATACCGATTCTTCATGCACCAGCGCTGCCACGACGGTCACCAACGGTTGTACGGCGTCAGCCCCCTACTTCACCTTCGCCATCTACGCCGATGATGCCGCCTCGACGCCCTACTGCGCCCCTGGGGCACCAATAAGACCTGCAGAATCGCCCTCCAGTCCTTCAACAACCTCGCGTGTAGCGAGTACTTGCGATGCACGGACAATCTCGCCCGAGGCGGCACCGGCGATGGCGTCTGCTACTACGAGCAGCGGCTGGGCCTCTACCTCCTCCCGCGATGCCAGACCGGTCTGGAGGAGCTTATCATCTCTAACCAGGCCGGCTGCTCGGGCGGTATCACCAAGTCGTTCCCGAAGACCGACATCACGCAACAGGGCCGCCCAGGCACTTGCTTCGCCTACGGCAGCAACGATACCAGTGCGTTCACTTCACCCACCATCCTTTCCATTTACATCTTTTTGATTTTTTTTTTTGTTTATTTTATTTGGTTGCAGCCTTCAGCGCGTACATCCTTGCCGACAACGAGGGCGGTTGTGGATCGGGTGCTTCGATGCTCACGACTTGGATCACCCTCCTCCTCGCCCTCCTTTTCTAAAATCTCCTGATCAGAGTGTGTAATCTGCAAAAGAAGTCGTGTTTATTTACAATCGGATGAAATGGTGCGATGGAAATGGGTGGGCCTAGGCGCTCTGCTCGCCCTCAAGGGCAGCTTCCTTCTTCTGCACAGCAGCCTCGATCCTCTGTCGCATAAAAGGGTGAGCTGCGCATACCACCAGAACAGCAATCAACAGCATGACGCATCATCATACCTTCGTCTTGCCAAATTTGAGATCGGCAGTTAGCGAGATGAGACC